CTTTTAAGACTCATGAGTACATTTAATATTTCTTCGTTTACATATTATAAATTGTTACAAAATGTAGAGTCTGGCCAAGGAGAGCCAACTCCTGTTCCGAAGACCGCGTGACCGTGGAATTTTGCCAGGGAATTCTTAGTTTTGAATATAAGATCAAAATGGTAGGAAGACAGGAGACGGTCAAAACAATTCTGAAATATCAAATGTCAGTGGCTTAGTGACTCTTGCCTACAAGTGGGTAGATATTAAGCCAAGGATTTGTCATGTGTTCCGTTACCAATCGTCCACTAACTTCTCCTCTAGAATCGATCCTAACAGAACTGTCCTCTCGTATAATAAAATGAATAAGAAAAAGTTTGTTTAGAGGCATATCAACTTATTTTGTGCCAAAATTAAATTTCTTGGGTGTATTAGAAAAAATTAATTTAAAAAACGCTGGTAATATTTTTAAATGTGTTGCTGCTAATAGTCTTTTTAAAAAAATGTATTAATGATAATTTATTTTAAATGTATTGTTGGTAATAGTTTTTACAATGAAAATGGATTGCTTGCACATATATATATATATATATATATATATATATATATATATATATATATATATATAAACGTATTCTTAGCCTTTTGTAGTGTTTTGATATCAATTTGGTGTTAACTAGGTGCATACACTTAGGATATTAACAGGGGTAGCAAATACGGGGCAGACTAGATCTGGGAACAACAGCAATTAAGAGATGCCTCCCACGATCCTCCTTGCTGCCAGATATATGTTATCGTCATAAACTGGACAGAATAAGAAAAAGAAATCATCCTTCCTTTGGTACAGTCTGTGATGTGGTGCTGGGTTCTGAACAATTAAATCAACTGTCGGCACAGAACCCAATAAAAATTCATGCCAATCATTTGCTATTAATAGATTCATTCTACATTTTAGTGGTTATTTAGGTCGAATGAGTCAAAATTCCTGACGGAAATAATCTGATCTTCAAGATTTAAAACTCTGAGATTAAGTTTACAATTTGCACTCGCAAAAAGAAATGTATAAATGCTGTCTTGTATTTCAGTAAAAGAAATAATAAGAGTAAGCAATCTTTTAGAACTACAGTGGAACCTCGGTTCACGAATTTAATTCTTTCCTGTAGGCCGTTCGTAACCCAGGATGTTCGTAAACCGAAAAAAAGGCACAGTATAATAAAATTGGAAAAGAAAATCACCACACAACACAAGAATGTATACGACATAGCGGTCGACTCAGAAATTATTCCGTTCGGGTTAACTCGATTCAGCAATGTTATTCAAGAGCCGAAATTTTGTTCGAAAACCGATTACTTCGACATGTGAGACGTTGGTGAACGGAGTTTTCAGAGTATTTTTTTTTCCCGAAATAATATAAATATATTTTAATATTATTTTGGTTGGAAATTACTAATATTTGTATCTTGCTGATTGATTTAACTGTATTATGAAAGAAAAAGAAATATTTGACGGTCATAATATGGAAATATAAGCTATTTTCTCGATATTTAACATCGTTTATTTTCGTGTTTTTTTTTTTTTTTATTCAGCATACACCGTCTTCTTCAAATATAAAGACGTTATGCACCCGTCGCAAAATATATTATTTAGTAAATATATGTTTTTTCTTTTTCTTGTCCAAGTAGTGATTATAGCTTTGTCAATAGAAGTCATAAATGAGTTAGAATTTGGGTGCTGCCTTGCCCTGTAATTACTTGTGACAGGTGAACTGCGGTTCGGACGCATTTGTCGTACAAATATCTATTTACGACACAAATCTACACATTTTCTTCATTTCACTCGATTACGTCTGTCTGGCTATAAACATTATGACAAGAAGGGAAATGTAAACGTACTCTTGCGTTATTAGAACGAAAAACTGTATACTTACTAGCGAAAGATGTGCTAGGTCACAGGTAGTTCAACTATGTTCATTTATACAAATTTATACAAATCGGGTGAGTGCAAAATTACCCATTATAATATTGTATATAACTTGTGGTAGCTAATCATATATATATATATATTAGACCATATATGTGTACTTACGTTTTGGTGTGCGAATTAAGGTACAAGTATAAGTAATAATTAATATATGTATTTGCTCTGTCTTATTGATGATTATTTATCTGCTTGCCCCTATATACACACCAGTGCGACGTGCGTATTCGCTTGTTTATATCCGATCGTTTGCTTCATCTATCCCTATAACTAATAATTTCGTTATAGTGGTGAAGGCTTGGCAGAAGCAACCCCACTTTTTGGTAGATGTGCCACAAGGTCCCCAAACAACATGGTCTCTCCACAGGATTTGAATTCAGAGTTGTCCTTCTTCCAAGGATATTTACTTGGGTTGGGGGGTGGTAGAAGAAGAGTACTTATACCTTTCCTAAGGATAATAGCACGTTTAGTTAATGCAAAGGATTCGACTGGAATCCGAACTCGACTCTTCGTTTCCTCAGTCCGTGCCGCTATCCACTTCATATATATATATATATATATATATATATATATATATATATGTCAGTCTATATTTTTAAAGAGTGGATTTATTTATAAACCGTCAATTTTGTAACTTACAATAAAAACTGGGCGTTTATTCAAATACAAGCATCCGCTAATAATAATAATAATGTCTGGTGAAATGATATCGGATTAAATATATATTCAGTAATACTTTCACATTTACTTTGCTTACATTTTAAATCAGTAACTTTGTAGATATCTGCTTTCGGAAAAAATTCTTAATGTGGAGGGAGAAATAACACTACTGTGTGTCTATTCGTGGACGATGGTAAAGCTCACCGGATCAAATAGTGGTTTCTCCTCTAGAGAAGGTCATTTCTATATTAACGAGAATATTTATTTAATTTCTTCTACCAGCCAGGATGTTTGTTAAAATTTTCTTAATGGAAACATCTGTCCTATCCGGCAGGATTTGAACCAGCCTTCCTCAGGGCGGACGAAGCTACAGTTAGGCCCGTTAGCTCTTGACCACTATAGCCACGAAGTCCAGTTGCTCGGGCGAAGTCCCGTCATAGTATCTTTGTATTTCTTCATATCTGCAGAATTTCGTATCCAATTGTAAGTAAATCGCCGCGTTCATATATCTTTGTTTTATTATCAAGTACTTTCGACATATCCATGTCATTGTCGTGTATTGTTTATAATAAAATGAATATTATAATATCCATTATTGTCAGAGACAAAGTATTGTGTTACCTGAAAGCTATTTTTTTTTTAGAAATGGATTGAGGAATGCTACTTCAGTGCATGACCGCAAAAATCATTCTGAAAATAAAGGATACTATAATTATTTTATTATAAACAATACCCTGAAGATGACACATATATATCGAAAGTATTTGATAATGAATGAAATATGTAAAAACACGTCGATTTTTATCGTCTTTCAGTAATGACACCAAAAAAAAACTAATCCGAGAGTATGAAAGGATCTTAACGAAAATAAGTAGACAGAATATGTTTAAACTGTACAATGAAACATGTCATATTGGAAACATGATGCCGATATATATATATATATATATATATATATATATATATATATATATATATATATAAAATAGGAAAGAACTCGTTAGGTAAATAATCCAAAGTTCTTTAGTATTTTTGTTATTATTTTAAAAAAATAGTGCTCGATACAGAAGTAGAGCATAAATATAATTATTTATTTAAAAATATGATTCCAACACGCTACATAAGAGTCTTCATGTTTCAAAACAAGAGCCTAAATCTTCAGTATAATTATTTGAATTAAATTGAATTAAAGTACTAAGCTCCGTTCCCTCTTCAAACGAAATTTTTTGGGGAATAACTTATTTCTTAAATTTACGCGTTTTATAAGCATATTCATTATTGAAATCAAAATTTTTATGGTAACGGCTAGAGCAATTGTTCAAACAAAAGGGGTCTAAGGTGTTAATAATTTGAATCAATATCTCAGTTACATTCATATATATATATATATATATATATATATATATATATATATATATATATATATATATATATATATATATATAAAAGAAGATGTCATTACTTCCTGGCTACAATATCTATTATATACATCTCGATAGTAGACATTTGGGTGACATTTAAAAAAAATATCAGCTTTCATTCGGCATATTAACAATCATAACAATGCACAGATTTTGTTTGAACTTCAATCTTTTAGGGATACTGCAATAAGCTTTGTTGTGTTGATCGAAGCCGAGAGAGATCCGTTTTACATCAAGCAAACCAAAAATAATCATTGTCTACATTCGGAAGCTGTTTAAAGGAGTCGGATTAAATATCTTTTACATTCAGTGGTATTTCAGTGTAGTCAAATGAACATACCTACCGTTGTAGACGAGCTTCTAGGAGGCCACATAATACAGACGCTCGGTAAGATCCATACAATGTAATGACTGCAATGACAGGCCCCTTGGAATTCCGATGAAATATCAGATAAATTTTAATCTCCGCCCTGTGAACCTGCTCATTTGAGCACTGTTTACTCGCAGCAGCAATATAGACACACGAACCTCTAATAATCTTAAACTAACCCATTAAAATCGTCGTACATGTAAACGGTGTTATCTTCAGTGAGACCCTAGGAGATTGTATTGGATTCCATACTCTTCTTTTTTGAACGGTCAGGGTTTGAACTCTGCACGCCGATTCCAATTTCCACAAACGTTACAATACCTGTTACAGTAACAGCAGGCTCATAATATTATAGAAAGAAAGAACACGTGTCTATAGAACGACAAGGCCGGAAAAGAATATATATATATATATATATATATATGATGTGATAAATATGCATATATCTGGCTACACCTCACAGTAATATAATTGGCTGGTGTCAGCCATAAATACAGACCGATGTTGAGGTACATGTGGACGCCTATAAAGTATGCCTATTGACTTACGCCTATTGCCTACCACTACGACGAATAGCAGTCCATTACGGTTACGGAAATATAAAAGATATACAAGGGAAAATAAAGAGAAAATGTATGGAAGGCATTTGGTATGTTTTGTATAAAAGAAAGAAAGAAAGAAAGAAAGAAAGAAAGAAAGGGGATGTGGAAAGAAAAAGAGAAACAAATGAAGGAAGGAAGGAAGGAAGGAAGGAAGGAAGGAAGAGAGAAAGAAGAGAGAAAGACAGAAAGAAATGGATGAAACAAAAAAAGACTAGTAAATGAATCAAGGAGATTATTTTAGGAATACAAAGGAAAACGAGATACAGCGGATGGTAAATATATATTTTATCCGAGTTCAAACCGAAAAGGCGAAAAACTAGCCTCTAAATAACTTGGTGATGGAGCCAATTCTTCCAGTACGGCGACTAACAGACCCAAACGTTGGAACCATTGTGTTCAGTGCCATAAGTAACAAAGCTCCATCACGTTTGCTATTTTGCATAGATAGTTAATGATCGACTTGTATTTCCAAGACATTCTTCCATTTGTTTTACTGTATTATTCTTGTAACTGGAAGACAATGTGACGTTGCATCAGGATAATATACGTGCACCCGATAACCGTGCTAGTCAACATACTCTGTAAGATGCTAGACAAAGTGTACAGCATATTTGGCTGCCACTATTGCTTGACCTGTCCACAATTGATCGTGTATGGGGAATGATGTCATCACTCGTTCAATCAGCCCATCTTTATTTATTACTGTTTTCGTCAGTCGGTACAACAGTTGCATAACTGCATCGCAGGACAGTGTTCGGCATCAGCAAAGGAGAAAAATGGATATACACGTTATTAATATGAGATTTAAGTACTGAACGTTTTTCTGTTGCTACATGAGCGTGATAATAGCACTTTATGTGTATGATTTTTTTCAACCAAGTCTCTCACTTGAAAAGCTTTAGTTGCTACTTTCTTATATTTAATAAAAATATTTCTGTAATTAGCCGTATCGCCGAAATCGATTTATTTGATATTTTCTCTCATAGTAAAATTTTTCGTACAATTTTTACTATTCATAGTAACGTATATAAGCCGCTCTGTATTTTCACTGATACAACAATTGGAAAAGACAATAAGTTAGTTGGAAGGGCAAATGGAAGAAAGCACAAATAACAATGTTGTTCAGAATATCAGACATAATTAAAAGATATATTCTTCCTATGATAAATTTTATGAGTTGCGAATCATGTTATAAATGACTGTTTAAACAATGTTTCGTGACAAAAACTGAGAATTCTCTCATTGTGATGTTAGTAAAATTGAGCAAAATTAAGACGTAATTTTCATTAGGGTGAGCAAACAGTTCTAATGACTGGCTTATTTAATCCGTTATTACATAGACAAAAACGGATTACATCGACAATGTCGAATGCAATTGTCATTGGATCGACAAGGATATATTTTGAAAACCCGATTCCTAAAAATCAGAAATTTACGTTAAACAAAGCTCTTGTTGTTTGCGTCACGAGAAAGTCAGGGTTTTATAATTTACACTTCCTAAAACAATGAAACATTAAATGCACATTAAAAGTTCAGTTGCTTCAACGCATGACAAAATAGATTTGGTTGCAAAAGACATACACAGAAAATATTGCTCACCATGCGAGGGAAGCGACACATACGGCAAGTATAACATAAGAAAGATTTTGGAATATGATTGGTCATGTTTTTCTCATGAAAATCTGAAGAATTTCACTAGACATTTATCGAAGACCTACCTGATAATATTGAACAAAACATTGCTAAAAATGGTTACGAAATAATTGAATACAAATACTGGTTATATTTTACCTGAGAAATGTATTACTGGTTATATTTTACCTAAAAAATATATTGCCGTTTCTATTTTACCTCAAAAAATGTATTACTGGTTATATTTCTACCTCTAAAATGTATTGCCGTTTCTATTTTACCTCAAAAATGTATTGCCGTTTCTATTTAACCTAAAAAATGTATTGCTAGTTATATTTTACCTCTAAAATGCATATATGGATATATTGTACGTCAAAAATGTATTGCCGTTGCTATTTTACTTCAAAAATGTATTGCTACTTATATTTCACCTCTAAAATTTATTTCTGGATATATTTTACCTCAAAAATGTATTGCGTTTCTATTTTATCTCAAAAATGTATTGCCGCTTCTATTTTACCTCAAAAATGTGTTGCTGGTTATATTTTACTTCTAAAATGTATTTCTGGATATATTTTACCTCAAAAATGTATTGCCGTTTCTATTTTAACACAAAAATGTATTGCCGTTTCTATTTTACCGAAAAAATGTATTACTGGTTATATTTTACTTCTAAAATGTATTGCCGTTTCTATTTTACCTCAAAAATGTATTGCTAGTAATATTTTACCTCTAAAATGTATTTATGGGTATATTTTACTTAGAAATGTATTGCCGTTTCTATTTTACCTCAAAAATGTATTGCTAGTTATATTTCACCTCTAAAATGTATTTCTGGATATATTTTACCTCAAAAATGTATTGCCGTTTCTATTTTACCTCAAAATGTATTGCTAGTTATATTTTACCTCTAAAATGTATTTATGGATATATTTTACCTCAAACATTTATTGCCGTTTCTATTTTACCTCAAAAATGTATTGCCGTTTCTATTTTACCTCAAAAATGTATTGCTGGTTATATTTTACTTCTAAAATGTATTTCTGGATATATTTTACCTCAAAAATGTATTGCCGTTTCTTTTTTACCTCAAACATGTATTGCTGTTTCTATTTTACCTCAAAAATGTATTTATGGATATATTTTACCTAAAAAATGTATTGCCGTTTCTATTTTACCTCAAAAATGTATTGCCGTTTCTATTTTACCTCAAAAATGTGTTGCTGGTTATATTTTACTTCTAAAATGTATTTCTGGATATATTTTACCTCAAAAATGTATTGCCGTTTCTATTTTACCGAAAAAATGTATTGCCGTTTCTATTTTACCGAAAAATGTATTACTGGTTATATTTTACCTCTAAAATGTATTGCCGTTTCTATTTTACCTCAAAAATGTATTGCCGTTTCTATTTTACCTCAAAAATGTATTGCTGGTTATATTTTACTTCTAAAATGTATTTCTGGATATATTTTACCTCAAAAATGTATTGCCGTTTCTTTTTTACCTCAAACATGTATTGCTAGTTATATTTTACCTCTAAAATGTATTTATGGATATATTTTACCTCAAAAATGTATTGCCGTTTCTATTTTACCTCAAAAATGTATTGTCGTTTCTGTTTTACCTCAAAAATGTATTGCTGGTTATATTTTACTTCTAAAATGTATTTCTGGATATATTTTACCTCAAAAATGTATTGCCGTTTCTATATTACCTCACATATGTATTGCCATATATATTTTACCTCAAAAATGTATTAATGTATATATTTTACCTCAAAAATATCTTGCCGTTTATATTCTACCCCCAAAAAATGATTGGCCATGTTTTTCTCATCAAAATCTGAAGGATTTCACTAGACATTAATCGAAGACCTATTTGATAACAGTGAACAAAGCATTGCTAAAAATAGTTACGAAAAATGGTTGAATAAAAATATAACTGGACTTTATTATATTTAAGAAGAAATTTGAAAAGAAGTGACAATGACTTAAGACATTGTCACTCTCTCTCCCTCTCCCACTGTATATATATATATATCGCAAATTGTAAAACTTTAGGACGTCACATTACTTGATCTGGGAAAAGCAACGTTACATCATAAAAGGCCTGCTTTCCCACAATGAAAGGGCACGAACAACAAAATTGTCCAGGATTTTGGCATGAGCCGTCCTCACCTGCACGTCCCTCTTTGTAAGGATCAACTTGAGACCTCAAGCAAAATCTTTTAGCTGTCCACGTAACCTTTACCTTCTCCCCAGTAGTCTTTGTGCAAGCAGATATAAATAAAACAGACTGAGCATAATCGCCAAAGCTTTTTGGGGAAATGCTGATAACACGTGATTGATGCAATATTTACCATGAACCAAGTGAACAGCATACGCCAGGTTTTTCGTATAAGAGCTTTCCGCCTGATAGACTAGCTGCATGTATAGCTATGAATCGAAATCTATAGCAGTGTACTTAACTCCCACTTAGGCACCCAGTTAAGTATTTCTAAGTTCACACATATATTGTAGTGACGCATGAAGTTCCATCCGCCTGTGTCAAGTTTTCTTTCAAATCTTTGGGTGTCTAGCCAACATTCACAACAGAAAATACTTTCGGGGAACCCATTTCAACATCGATGATCCCATTTTTTATTAGGTAGCAAAAGAGATGGTTTCCTGTATCAAACAGATTCCTACTAAAATATATATTTAAAAAATCAAAATATAATCTTTTTAGTAGAGATAGCTTAATCCTAGTTTAAGTTAACGCTTTTCCTTTAAATTAGCTATTTTAACATATGGCCTTGATAAAAATAAAATCACTAGAAGTCTTTTTGACAAAGCCCGCAGATTTCATGGAAATGGTGTAAAAAGGCTATATTAGGTATTTTACCGTATGGCCTTGATAAAAAAAAAAATCACAAGTAGTCTTTATGACAAAGCCCGCAGATTTCATGGAAATGGTGTAAAAAGGCTATATTAGGTATTTTACCATATGGCCTTGATAAAAATAAAATCACTAGAAGTCTTTTTGACAAAGCCCGCAGATTTCATGGAAATGGCGTAAAAAGGCTATATTAGGTATTTTACCGTATGGCCTTGATAAAAATAAAATCACTAGTAGTCTTTATGACAAAGCCCGCAGATTTCATGGAAATGGTGTAAAAAGGCTATATTAGGTATTTTACCATATGACCTTGATAAAAATAAAATCACTAGAAGTCTTTATGACAAAGCCCGCAGATTTCATGGAAATGGTGTAAAAAGGCTATATTAGGTATTTTACCATATGGCCTTGATAAAAATAAAATCACTAGAAGTCTTTTTGACAAAGTCGGCAGATTTCATGGAAATGGTGTATAAAGGTTATATTAGGTATTTTAACATATGGCCTTGATAAAAATAAAACCACTAGAAGTCTTTATGACAAAGCCCGCAGATTTCATGGAAATTGTGTAAAAAGGCTATATTAGGTATTTTATCATATGGCCTTGATAAAAATAAAATCACTAGAAGTCTTTATGACAAAGCCCGCAGATTTCATGGAAATGGTGTAAAAAGGCTATATTAGGTATTTTACCGTATGGCCTTGATAAAAATAAAATCACAAGAAGTCTTTATGACAAAGCCCGCAGATTTCATGGAAATGGTGTAAAAAGGCTATATTAGGTATTTAACCATATGGCCTTGATAAAAATAAAATCACTAGAAGTCTTTATGACAAAGCCCGCAGATTTCCTTGAAATGGTGTAAAAAGGCTATATTAGGTATTTTACCATATGGCCTTGATAAAAATAAAATCACTAGAAGTCTTTTTGACAAAGCCCGCAGATTTCATGGAAATGGTGTAAAAAGGCTATATTAGGTATTTTACCATATGGCCTTGATAAAAAATAAAATCACTAGAAGTCTTTTTGGCAAAGCCCGCAGATTTCATGGAAATTGTGTAAAAAGCCTATATTAGGTATTTTACCATATGGCCTTGATAAAAATAAAATCACTAGAAGTCTTTTTGAAAAAGCCCGCAGATTTCATGGAAATGGTGTAAAAAGGCTATATTAGGTATTTTACCATATGGCCTTGATAAAAATAAAATCACTAGAAGTCTTTATGACAAAGCCCGCAGATTTCATGGAAATGGTGTAAAAAGGCTATATTAGGTATTTTACCGTATGACCTTGATAAAAATAAAATCACTAGAAGTCTTTATGACAAAGCCCGCAGATTTCATGGAAATGGTGTAAAAAGGCTATATTAGGTATTTTACCATATGTCCTTGATAAAAATAAAATCACTAGAAGTCTTTATGACAAAGCCCGCAGATTTCATGGAAATGGTGTAAAAAGGCTATATTAGGTATTTTACCATATGGCCTTGATAAAAATAAAATCACTAGAAGTCTTTATAACAAAGACCGCAGATTTCATGGAAATGGTGTAAAAAGGCTATATTAGGTATTTTATCATATGGCCTTGATAAAAATAAAATCACTAGAAGTCTTTATGACAAAGCCAGCAGATTTCATGGAAATGGTGTAAAAAGGCTATATTAGGTATTTTACCGTATGGCCTTGATAAAAATAAAATCACAAGTAGTCTTTATGACAAAGCCCGCAGATTTCATGGAAATGGTGTAAAAAGGCTATATTAGGTATTTTACCATATGGCCTTGATAAAAATAAAATCACTAGAAGTCTTTATGACAAAGCCCGCTGATTTCATGGAAATGGTGTATTCCAACATAAACTAAGTCGATGTTAACTTTCACGTGTTCCCAGACTTATTGGACTCATCTGGGTAACTCATTTAGCACAGCAATGGAGTGGCTAGGCTAGGATAGCATCTCCAGGATAGTTTAAATTCAGTTTTTTTCAGCTAACTCGAGTCCGATATTTTAAGTATAGCTGATTAAAGATGTACCTATACCTTTCCAAGGGCATTTGTATCAAACATGAACGTTAACAAACATGGTCGAAATTCGAACCCGTCTTGTATTCTGATCTTTATGATTTACATTCTTCATCTATTGTACGCTCCGGTCTTCTTCAGATGGTTGGAATGTCGAACTGAAACATTTATTTCGCTCACTGGCGTAGACTGATGGATATTGAACTCACACACTTTGGGTCCTGTCACCTGTGCCATGTGTCCTTGAAGACATCTGGGTATGAATTTCTGGGTATTATAAACCTAATGTCTTCAGCAACTATGTTTACCAGTGATCATATTGCAATTTTGCTGTTATCATTTATGTTTTTACCAGAGCTCATAATGAAACTTTTTGTTTTGTTGTTATCATTGCTTTTTCTGGCACTCCTTATTACTGGTTCCCATATGAACTTTCTGAACTTTCAGAGGGAAATTAACAGGAGATAACTGATAACTGACATCCATTAAACATGGCACATGGAACTAGAACAGTCTACCCCAGTGAGCGAAATAAAAGGTTCGGTTCGACATTACAACCAACTGAAGAAGGCCTGAGCGTACAACGGCCGAAAAGTTGTTATAAATATGGCGATAAAGATGAGGACAATAGTCAGAATAATGTAAATAATATACATAATACCTCATCTCAGAAATATAGACAAACTATTCTGATAATATTTCGATTAAATTTGTGAATAAATGTTATTATTGTATCTTTTTAGATTAACTTCCTCGTCCATTTTCTACAGTGCTTGAATGAGTTAAAAACAACGAATGTTGTAAGAAATAAAAGAAAATTAACCTTAATTTCAAGATTTATAGAATGGGTGAATTTATAGAATGGGTGAATTATGTCCACAAGTTCTATTATTGTCTCGTGTGTTGTATATTTTCCTTGATGTCAGGTTGCTTCAACCAGCAACATCACGAGTTATTTCCCTTGTTTAAATAGCCATCTTTCACTTACATTACTTAATTCATGTAAGATAGATTTTTACTGCAGCTCTGTCTAAAGTTAAACACGTCGTAATAAATAGTTCAATTTGAATTCTTCTAATGATAAAGAATTTATATTTCCAATGGATTACGCATCGGTGGAGGTATCAGTTAGGAATTTTGATCGTGACATGATTTTCTTCGAAATGAATTGTCGTAATAAATTGGCAATTGACGTTTCCTTCTGCAAAAATGATGGTTTTCTGTACGAAGCATTGTTCTACTCAAAGATACGTCAGTCTTTTCATAAAAGATAGTATAGTGATTTCAGTATTCAGGTTCATTACACCGGCAGTATTCCCTCCCGCGCGAATAATTTATCCTAGTGTTTTCCATAATAATGTTCCTTTAATCCCGACATTGCCTCAATTGGTGTGTAGTTTTTCTATCGATTTTCAAAGCAAAGAGGCACATGTACTATATGGTATTCCAAAGAAAGTAAGACCCATCCTACAGGTTATATTTTCTTCCATTAATACATGGTTCAGATCAATACACCAGTGTCCACTGAATACACAAGAAGAATCGATATACTATGTGCTGAACTGCATTTCTTTCTTCATCTTCAAGAAAAGTTACATGCAATTTCTCCAAGAGAAACCATTCAAGTAGCTTATAACTGTGTGACGGTTACACACCTGGCCCAGGGTCGAATCCTTTGGTTACGGCGCCAACGGTGACGTCGCACCTCCTGGTCGCTCCTCCTGGGTCCAAGCGTGCCGCTCCAACCCCTTGGTCAGATGATCACCAGCCTCGCCTTTCCCGACTCGCTTCCAATACCTGGTCACTAAAGCAACTGTACCGATCTCCGGTCTGTCTACCCACGCTGTGTTTAGATCTTAGACAGACGGGACCAGCAGGGATTGGGGCCGATACAAGTTGAGTCCGACGGGGGTGGCAAAACACAAATAAAAGAGAAAATAAACTCACGGTGCCTCTTTTTTGAGCCTTCGACTGCTTGATTGGACCTCTTCGTCTTTTTCTTCCTTTTCTTCGGACATGGGGGTGTGTTGGCGATCTCACGGGTTCTTCTCTGCACTGATTCAGCCGACGACTGAACATCGCTAATCCCCGCTGAGGGTTCCAACTCCGTCACTCGGACTGCTTCGTTTATCTGGTCAAGTCGACCTATCTCCTCATCTTCTTCGGAGTCTTCCTCCGTCTCCATTCCTTCCGGTTCAACCAGAGTTACCTTCCTTTTCCTTGTCTTCTTAGGCCTCGGCTCGCTCATTTCCAGGTTAGCTATTTCAGCCTTCTTCAGATCATTGGCATGAACCCTCCTCGCTCGTCCTGCCACTTGATCCCATATTACATATGATACTGGGCCCGTCTGCTCCACTATCCGGTAGTACGGTTCCCATCTCTGGTCCAGTTTTCCTTCTCTCTGGTGGATTTTATAGTAGACAGGGTCTCCAACCTTCAATTCTACCACCTTTCTTTCAGCATTCACCCTCTCATTTCTTTTC